AATGGAAAGGTAGATTTTAAGGGGAAATTTCAAAAGAAGAACCAACTCAGTGGCCAGAGCATTTCACATACACTAAATTTGGCAGCATTAATAAAAGAGTGAATTTTACTCAAAGAGAGTTACAGGGAAAAGACAGCATAGAGCTGTGGAACAGATGGGAAAAAGGGGAGAGGGAATCAGAGATTTACGCTAGAGGAAGAACTTGTTTTGAAAAAGGAGATGAAATGGTAGGGTGGGATTAGAACTGGATTTCTGGATAGGTGAAGATGACAAAGAATGGGTGTGATATCAGTTGTGATACAGCATTTTTAAAAATCAAATTCCAAAATTTAAATCTGGATATCTTGCTGCAGCTGTTTTGAGTCAGCCCTGGTGAAAATGGTTTCCCTGAAGAGTCTGATCTGTCTTTACTTTTTGCTCTTGAACGTAGGCAGGAGGTTGCATTCTTACTTTTGACTATTTGACTTCTGTATATATTCCTGTGACTATTTTTGTAATGTTAGGAATATGTTCTTAAACATCTGTTTCTCATTCTCTTAGTTTTCTCTGTTTGTGTATCTTTCTTCTGCCTCTTAGTAAGTTGTAAGTTTTTTTGCAGAAATCATTGTTTCTTCAGTATGTCCTTCCTTTTCCCAAGAAAAATGTCATATTGTAGTTTATGAATAGAAGCGCTTTGCATGTTCATGACTTTAATTTCTTCCATGTTCTGCTGACCTCTCCTCACTTTCTCATTTAGCAAAATATGATTTATTTATTTTTTACTTTTGGTCATCCGGACACTTAACTTATGATACATAAAGCTTAAACAAAAGCAATTAATTGGGAGATTATTTAACAGTCACTAAGGCAGCTTTCCTTGTAATTTAGTTTGCTTTATTCCATGGGCCATTATCTTAATTGCTTTTCTTGCTCCATCTCTTAACAGTTTAGTGCTAAAGTTAAAGTCTGATTTTGTGTGATGCTGTCAGCTCCCTTGACAGCATTTCCCCCCCCCCAGGAAATGCTCAGCACTCCTAACATGCAGTTTGTTTTCATATCCCATCTAGCATATTTTAAAATGTTTCTTCTGAATTGTTCTGCTTCTCAGCATCCACCTGGCATGACCTGTTTTGTGTCATACACTGGAAGATCTTTACCCAGTGCGGTAAATTGACTCTGAGCATTCCTTTGTGTCAGTATGGCACACCCACTTTTAGATTTAGATGTCACTGTTCATGATATGTGGAATAAAGTCAATTAAATTACAAGGAGAAACATCTTTGGAACAGCGCTGACTGCAGAAGTGATTACAGATTTTATCCTTTTGCTCAGTGGGCTGGGCTTCATAAATTGACACATACTGTGACAAAGGACCATGATGGTAGAAAGACCCAACTGGAAGGGGAGAGTACAAAGTGCTCATAACCTTCCCTGCACCAGGGGTGTGTGTAGGCAGCCCCCCCATATGGGTGGCACTGGCTCACAAGGGGACATGGCCAGGGCAGCTGGCAGAATGCATGAATTCAGCACATCCAGACTAGGCTCCTAAAAGCCCCTAGTGGAAACTAAAGTTACCCTACTAAAAGAGAACCCTCTAGGGAGGGAAGTGGTAGAAATACTACCTGTCCCACCACAGCAGTGAATGACCTTTGATGGAGGGTTTCCACAGAGTTTATTTAGCTTTGTGTACAGTAAGAAACCATGGATTTGATTTGAATCATGAAGCTGTGATTTATGTATGTGGAACTGTTTACAGAATAAGAGTTTAGTTTCACCAATCTGCTGTTTGCTGAGATTGATGGTAATTACTTGGAAGCTTCCAAGTTTTCCAGATATTCTCTAGTTCCTTTGAAGGCTTCCTCTTGCTGTCTAGGTGTTCAGATACCCCTTGGTGGTATGCTCAACTCAGATCTGGCCTTAATTTATCTACAAATACACATCTTTTAACTATCTCTGAACAATAAACATGCAATGCACGAAGATTTTAACCACAAAATGTAACTAGCTCTGCTCTGCAAGCTGCCTTCTTTTTTGACTAAGCAACTCCTGCTAGTTAAAGAAACTGTCAAAATATTAATCAAGGTAGCTTTAGAACCTCCATGCTTACCAATTCCCCTCAGGAACAAACTGAATTGCATATTTATAACTTTAACCAGGAAGGTGCCTGCATACTAGCACATATGTTCACATCTGTTATAACATAATTAATATTAATTTCCTTGACAAATGTGATTTAAATGTCCTCTTCTGTATACATTTCAAAGAGCCTGTTTCAATATTTTTACTCTTAGCCGGGTAAGACTGAGGGTCTTATTTGCAAACAAGTGATGATCCTTTTATCCTAGAAAAAATGTGGGGAAAGTGCTTAGTAAAATCTTAAACATATAGAACACCTTTCCTCCCAGAAGGTATTGTCGAGCTTTATTAGTCTTCTCTCTCTCTCTCACGCACACTCAGTCTCAGACACAGAAATCACTTCACCCACCATTACATCACTAAAATGCCACTGCCAGCTCTGGGGTAGAACATAGCTATTGTTTAACAGCACACAAGGCTATTTCATAATTTAGGGCAAGAATTGAGGAAGATTACTGTATCCATTTGGATATGCAGGGAGAATTTTGGTAGGCTGAATGCTACTTTGGCCAGGACATCAAGGCTAATACACTTTCTCCTCTGAAAATGCCATTGCAAATCTCCTTTAAACAAAAGTATAAATAAAAGAAATATCTCTTGAGGGTGATGTTTTCTATTCAAATTTTCACAGAATGGTTTAATGTTACGTTTTATACCACAAACATTAAAAAAACCAAAGTATATAGTGTCCCTGAAAAAACACGTGCCACATACTGAATCCACGAGAGGGAAATCCACATCCTCTCTAAAGAATAGCAACCTGGGGATGAAAGTGCAGAGTTCCTGCTTTTAGAGTTCCCTTTTGAAATGTTCTTAAATCTTTTAATTCCTGTAATGGTATCTAAGTACCACAATGATTGGTGCTTTAAAAATACCTGTGATGGAATATGGAATGTCTACATCACACCAGTTTTTAAGTGTATTGGGAAAGGGTGGGAAACAAGGGAAAACTGAAGTTCCTCAGAAGCCTTTGTTATCTGGGGACAGGAGGAAGATATCAATTCAGGTGTCTCCTACTCCCAAAGTCATTTTGTAAGAGTAGAGGATTCGTGAAGATCTTTCTCACTTTTGTTGACTACAGGTCTGTCGCATCTTACGCGCATTTAACATGCGCAATTTCAGCTTTACGCGGTCGGCAAAAAAAAAAAGAGAAAAATAACAATTTTAATACTGTACTTGTAGTGCGGGCGATTCTGCCTGCCATTCAACTCAATGTAATTTTGACTGTACGCGGTTTTCGCTTTACGCACTAACCGCGGAACGGAACGCCTGCGTAAGATGAGACTCACCTGTACTAGAAGACTGTGCTGCCAGCCTTGTGCAGTTTTTCTTTTCCCTTGGAAATACTAATTCAAAGCATGCAGAAGTAAGATAGCATGTGCACATACCACACATCGGGAGTGGTTTTTGACTAGTTCTGAACAATTATTCAAAGGTCAGGTTTAACATGGAATGTAACTGTGGATGAGTTCAGTTTTTAGGTGCAGTGTGGGTTTTTTTGTGGGTTTTGGTGGTGTTTACTGTTACACAGATAACAGTTCTGCCAAGTGGCACTGCTTTTTCAGTGTTGGCTATACTAGAATATGCTGTTGTCTAGGGCAGCAAAATGCTATGGCACCAAAATATTTAGTGACTGCTTATTGCAAAAAGAAACTGAAGGTTCAGGGGGTGGACATTTTCCAAGTTGCTACCAGCACCAAACACTATAGAGCTGGCATAGCTGTTTTGGTATGCAGCTCAACATTTCAGTGCTGAACCAAGTGGCAAATCTATGTTTCTTCCCAGCAATCCATGTTCCCAATCCATTTTTGGAGTGAGTGCTTACTATCGAAGAGAATAAAAAATACCAAAGAAAACCTTGGAACTAGGTGTCCTCATTGGAAGGTCCTCTTACAGAGTCACCTCTATGAAACTACAGAGTTGAACAAAGTCTAATTTTATTTTATAGATGAAACCAGTCGTAACCAATGATAGGGCACAACAAAAAGGGTTGAGAGTTCTGAATAACACATCTAAAATTTGGAAGGCATTTGCCTCCCTTTTCCTCAACAAACGTTAGGAATCTAATTTTCCAGTAACTGCAAAACTCCCCAAGGCCCTAAATTTTGGGGGGGATGGGATTTCCCTCAAACTTCAAAAAAAATTATTTGGAGGGATTGGTGGGATTTAGGATGGATGAATTCCCCAAAACTGTGGTAGCTATCTCAGACCATAAGGCTAGATTTTGGACTTAATGACTTTAGTTCTTCTTTCAGGCCATGAGGGACAATCCAGTAGATTTCACACAGGCAAAAATCAATCACTGGCAAAACTCTTATTGACTACAAAGGGAACAGGGTTTTGGTCCTTTTGAAAAGTAAACTTGCAGTCTCTCTCTGATCCTGTGTATGTGTAAGAAAGGGAATCACATATTTGAAGAGATGTACACAAGCTGCAAAGTTTTGAACTAGATTTCTGACTATGTAAGTTTTTAAACAGGCTCACCAGCATGGTGGCTTCTAGCCCCAAAGTTTGGGGTTGTTTGGATGCAAGGTTTTGGTTTGAGCCACTGCAAAATGCCAGATCCAGGTGTTAGTTTTCAGACCCCTGGCCACATGAGAAGTTGCCCCCTTCTCAGCCATTTAGCGAGTTTCGATCCATTCTGGATTTGCGCCTGGTTTCCACCTTGGTCTAGCGGTCCAGCATGCAGAACCTTAGGCTGGCCGGTTCTGGCCCTGTCTCCCCCTGCGTTTGTGAGACTGAACTGTGTGTCCGGGCCAGGCTGCACAGCTTTATCGAAGGCGCAGCTCTGTCCAGCCCGGGGAAGGAGGGCTGTGGGGGGTGCTTTGCTGCTGGCCCGGCAGATTAAAGGGCTAGACTAGACCCCTGCTGGCTGCATATTCGGGCCCTTCCCCAGGTGTTGCGGAGGCGACGCCCCCCCCGTGCGCTCGCCTGGCCGCGGAGCGCCTAGCCCAGGGGCGCAGTGCTGCCGCCGCTGGTGCGCAGGGAGCTGCTGGCTGCACCGTGGAATGTGCGGTATGCGGGGGCCAGAAGCAACCATTCGGCGGGACAGGGGCGGCCGCCGCCTGCTCCTCCGGGGTCCCGCGCAGCGGGCGGCAGCCGAGCGCCCCTGCGCAGAGCAGAGCGGCCAGGGCAGGAGGCGGCGGCGTGCTGGGCAGGCCGGGCGCAGGGGCCGGGCGCAGAGCCGGCTGTGGGCTGTCTCCTGCGGCGCTGCTCTCTCTCTGGGCGGTGGTTGAGGCCGCTGGTAGGTGGGATCGGCTCTGCCGCTGCTGGGGAAGCGCCCGCTGCTGCTGCCGCCGCCGCCAGATCAATGAACTCTCTTCGGTCGCGGCGGCTGCTGCTCGTACGGTAGGCGCTGCGCGGCTGATCCCCGGAGCGGAAGGGGGAGAGAGGCGTCGTCGTGCGCGGAACTCCGGCTCGGAGGCAGCAGCCGCCGCCGCCGCCGGGGAGGGAGGGAGGCACCTCGCCCCGCACCGCAGCCGCCCCTGCGCGCAAGTTGGCACAAAACTTGCTGCCCATCCCGAGGGGAAGCTGGGGCTTAGGCGGGGCGATGATTTTCCCCAATAGCAGCAGTAACCCGGCGGGCGGCAGCAGGACTCCCTATAGGAAACAGGTAAGAGAGCAGCGCTCCCCCTCCCCGGGAGGGGGGGGGGGGGGGGGGGGGGGGGGGGGGTGAGTGGCAGGGGCTGTAACTTCCAGTCTCTTAGCGATCAGCTGCGCCCGTCCCGCTGCCTTGGACGAGAGTCCCCTCTCCGGGCTGCGTGGTGGTGACCTTGCTGAGTACCCGAAAGAGAGGCGATCTGGTGTCGGTCAGGCGACTTCAGCCGGGTGGCCTTAGCAGCGGAGAGGCGTGTGGTGTGCCGCCCAGGGAGCCCTGGCTTTGCTGGGGTTTTTTTTTTTTTTTTTTTTGGTAAGGAGTGAAGTTGCAACATGCATTGAAAATCGAAACTTCAGGCTGAATGTTTTCCTTTCTGATAAAATGACAAAAAGGACGAACGTGCTTTCAAAACAAACAAAACCCCCCATACCCTCCAAAAAACCTCGGCTGTCGCGGCTGAGCTTCACCTCCCCCCACCCCCCTCCCGCTCTCCCCGCCCCCTAGCAGTACAAGGGAAATCCTGTGACATTTTATGAGCAGACAGATAGTTTTGATAAACTTGAACCATTCACATCTATGGAACTGTTTTGAAACGGACATTTTAGCATCTTAAGTTTTGAAAACAGCTGGAATGGTTAGACCAACATCCTCTGCTGCGGTGGGGGTGGGAGAGACTAGGAAAACTGTTTCCTGTTTCTGATTTTTAGTATTGGCTTTGTCACATAGTATTTATTACAAAACAGACCAGTTTTAATTAAACCTTTGATCAAACAAACAAAAAGCATGTGCTTCAGGTTTGTCAGAAAAAGTGAGGACCCTGTGCTTGTATAGAAAAGGTTACATGGATTAGAAGTCAGTGGCAAGATGCTTGGTTGACCAAAAAAAACCCCAACCAACTCACCACCACTACACACTGTCATTTATTTTCTTGTGGGCTGGGGAGGTGGAAACACAAATCACCTTTGGAGTCTGCCCCCCCTTAGCAGTGGAAACAAATTAATTTATCATCATAATGGTGCAGGAGGCATTGTCATTCTGTCTGGAGTTGGGATGCATTAAAGATAGAAATATCAGATCACATCACATTGTAACGGAGCGTCACTTTACTGCAGGGTTTCATGGAATTACTGATTTTAATTTAAAAAAAATTAAAATTAAAATTCATGTATGTTTCTCTGGTAGGTAAGCATGTGAATGATTAGGATTATAATGATTAACCAGTGCAACGGTGTACATTAGGTTTATCTTTACTTAGAGTTTAAGTGAGCTTTCATAATTTGCTGCTCTCTTCCCCCATTTTAAAGAAACATCCTTACAATACAAATCACTTATGATGATATCTCAACAACATTCTGCAGATGACACCCAACAATGAGTCATCATTGCTTCTTGCATTTGAAGTGTGTGTCTATATGTAATAAAATATGATTATTGGGTGGTGATTTTTAAAAAATAAATAAATCCCCCAGATACAACCATAGTTCAGCTCTTGTATCGTGTGTCTGCATACTTTGTAAGGGAAGCCAATGTATTAGACACTATTTTCTTACATTACCTGAAAGGATAGTTAATTAAGTAAGGCACCTTGGGGTCTGGTGTGTTCGTTTGTTTGTTAGGGTGCAACAGGGTGTTAGCAAGGAGATAGGGAGGACAACTCTAAGGGTGAGGCCTCTTTACTGAAGGGTTGTATGTTTTGTGTAAGGATCTGAGTTAGCCTGCTGGTCTGGAGCATGCTGATAAGATGCTCTTCTTTTCACAGTGCACTCCTTAGATTCAAAGAACTAAAAGGCCTGACTGAATTAGAAAAACAAACAGACTTTTTTTTTTTCTTTTTCAGTAGTAGAGGAAGAAATGAATGCATGGGTATTATGTAGTCCTAAGACCCTGGGTACCAGAGCTTTCTTTTGTTAGTGTTTAGCCATTCTCTATTCAAACATTTCCTACATAGGGAGCTGGGGTTTGAGCCTTTTCCCATTGAAGTCTGTGCAAAACTCCTATTGATTTCATTGGGAATAAGAGTGACTTGGTGATTTCATTTTCACTTAGACTTCACCTGCATGGATGAATTAGTGTCACAGGATATGAGTCTAACCCTCCATTTGATATAAAGTAGATTTATTGATGTACAATTCAATCTAATCCATTTTCAAAAAAATTGTATTTGTATTCTAAGAGGCTGGTTTTCTTTTATGTTAAAAGGGAGTATCCAGTATATGAGCCAGAGAAGAAGTTAAAAGAATTTTTAAAATGAAAAGTAAATACTCTGGGATAGCCCATGCTGGCTTTTCAATTATAATGTGTTTATAAGTGGTAGCAGAATCGTGTAAGATGTTAATAGAATCCTGAATCTTTGATAAAATAATCTGGTTTTTTCTGTCAAAATTTCTGGTTGGTGCCAGATTGTTGCTGAAAGTTGACTGCAATCTATCAGCAAAAGGAAAGAAGTACGCTGTCAGCTTTAGTGGGAAGGAATTATAATATAATTTTGCCTCATTGTAATCCGTAGCAAAAATCCCAATGGTTTCAATGGGGCCAGGATTTCACTGATACAATCTATTTGTTGCCTAAAAGTAATGTTCATTTTACAAAGGAATCTGTGATTATAGTACTATGCTTGCTATCTGTTTCTATCTCTCTGTGTACGCAGGCTCCTAGGAGCCAGTCAGCTACTTCATTTTCAGGTCAGACAGAGGTGGGTGGTGCCTAATCTTTTCCTCTTCTATAGTGGTAGGGTGAGTAGCAAGCTCTGTTCTCTGAAGTCATCTGTATTAAATAGGATTTGCCTGCATTGCGGACAGACGAGCACGTTAAAAATGCTCTTACTGAGCTCATGTCAAAGTTTGAAGCTGCAGAAGTGAGTAGTAACTTGGCAGGTAATGCCCAGACAAAAACAGAATGCAAGTTCAAGTCTGGCTGAAGAATGTGGACAATGCATTGCCTATCCCAGTTGGTTTTATCCTTCAGTAGTTTGTCTGTCAAAACAGTTGTGATCATACCTGCTATGTGAAAGTGGCTAAATACAGTCTAATATTTTCACTCTTCTTTTAAAGGAGGATATTCTATTTACTGTGAAGAGTCTATAATAAGTGGTAATACCTCTTCACCCTCTGTTGTAGACTCTTTTAGATCTCTCTTCATTACAACCTACGTATATAGGGAGCCTGAATTTTCCCCTTTCAGTTTTGCCTACGTAAATCCAAGGTAGCAACAACGAAGTCAACATATTTACGCCCGTGTAATGCCAATGTGATGGAAAATTGGGCCTCCTCCCTTCCATCTGCTCTTTGTATCTGTAGAGCTGCTGTAGTCATTTGATTTGGGATTTTATATCACTGTGTTCAGCCCACTTTTCCTCATCTCTGATTTTTGGGGGCCAGAGCAAGTAGCTATTTAGGTTTAGGATGAAGTAACCATTGAGTCTCACCAGTAGATGCTGGATCAGTATCTGAGCTGCTGTAAGAAAGCCCAGTGATTTTTTTTTTTTAATTTATTTTTAACAGTTTTGCCTGGTAACAATGGTACTTGTTACATTTTGATGAGTGTAATGTTTATCTCACCAGTATAAGTAGATTTACATAGTTTGCTGCTTTCAAGCAGATTAACTGGGTGTAACTGCACGTGAGGAATCTAACTCTGATTCAGTGTTTGGCCTTGTTTAGAGACTGACATACAATGGTGTTGATTAATCCTTTCATGTAGCTCTGTTCACAACAATTTCTATGTCATAGACAGGGTTTTCTTGGAGTTTGAAGATAAAACTGACATTTAGAAAACATTTAAATTAAGCAAACCATTGCTAGTCTCAGGTAAAAAAATGTTTCACTTTCAGGATGATGGGTTTAAAGTATCAAGATGCTATACCTGTAATCCTGTATACCATTTGACAGCTCCGTGGGGTTTTTTTCTCCTCTTGCTTCAGTTTTCTTTTTTGTAAACGTGTATGTCAAGCGACCTCGTTAAATTTATGAGAGATCAAGGAGTATAACTGGCATGGTCAGAATTTAAAGCATGAAACTCCGTAGAAAAATCTAAGAAATAGTTCTTACACAGTACTGTTCTATGAGTGTGCATGTATGGGGGAGGGGAAGGGATTGGAGAAAGAGACCAAATACACTTTTAGTTTATAACTGTTAGTTTGCTGTATTATGATTAAATAGTTTTTTCAAATTGGTAAGACTTGTATTATTTTATTCCTTGCATTGACCTGATCAGTTGCATATGAAGTATGTTTGACATTAATGACCTTACAGACTCTCAGCTTTTCTATTAAACATCAGTGCAGAGAAATCTTACATATATTATTTTTTTGTAATGTCTTATAAAGATGTTTGTATAGCACTGAGCAAATCTGATCTCTCAAGCATAAACAATCAGTGAGTTTCTATAGGTATAATACAAACTTGAATGAAAGAAACTAAAAGGAAGCGCCCTAACCAGTCAGATACGACATTATAGATTAGAAAAAGTGATTGATTATGTTTTTCTGTATTTTGAAAAATTTGAAATTGCTGTTTAAGATTTCTTACAGGTTGCTGGATTATCCTTTTGTCTATTTGTTTGAATGCTTAATTGTTTGTTTTAAAGTATGTGTATATGTATATTATATGATTGTGTGTATATTCACAAACATATATATTTGCTTATTGGGAGAAAACAGAAGTGTATGTTTTGTCTTGAATGTCTGCTGTTTCTTTTTTTCAAACTTTCAACTCTGAAGAATGCTTGACTTAACATATTTCAGAAAGTGTAGTAAACTTTAAACCAGGATTACTCAGTGGGTGGGGGGAACCTTTTCCAGAGGCTTGACAGGGTTTATAATACATCACCACAGAACTAAAGTCAAGTAAATAAAATCCTCAGAAGGTGGTTTAAAATATGTTCTCACAGGAGTTGATGAAAATGGTAGCTGTTGCTAATATATCTGTTTTGTACTGGTGAGTGCATTTTTCACAGCTCTAAAGATTCTATTATTGGTCTAGATTTGTTTTGAGAAACAGGATAAAACAAAAGTTATA